GGCAAATGCCGAAGCGTGCAGCGCTACGCACCAGCCTATCCAGTAGTATTTTCATAGCCAGTGCCTCAGACCCAAGAAGAGCTATGTCCTCCGCATATTCGAACTTTGTCAGTCGGTCACCTGACAACTCCGAAAGAGTCTGGAAGAACAGTGTCATTTACCGTCCATTATGTTCTCATTGACCTTCACTACTCGAGTTGTTCTCAAAGGCGATCACGATAAGATACACATCGTCTCATCTGCTACCAGGTGATAGAATAAAGTGAACACTTTTCGATATGTCTTTCTTTTCATAACTGTTGCATCGTTCACTGAGATTCGAGACACTTTGAGATGTTGCGTCGATTTCACGCCGATTCACCTGAAAGTAACGGATTGCGTATCTTTTATATTTGGCTTTCCCTTTTCCGATATTTTTCTATTGCGTATGTTAATAAAATGTTCTAGTTGCGATGTTCTAGCATTGATATTTCTTGTGTGATTGGTATACCTTCATGCCAAGGATGTTTGTTCGCCTTCCTTGCTCGTCATTTTCTCTTGATCTTTTTGACCCCCCAAACGCCAGAACGCTATCATGTACGGCAAGAAAAAGCAACAAGATGTTCAGTTCTACACTGAAGTCGGCGAATTGACGACCGACTTGAGCAAGGCTCATTCTCGTATGCAGGATCGTGATGATTTGGAGGCAGAGCAGCGGGAGCGTGAGATGAGAGAGCAGATTAAGGCCGCGTTTCGCTCCTTTGTGGACAAAACCGAAGCCTTGGCCCGGCGGTATAACCTGGAATTTGAGACACCGTTCCGTGATTTAGGTTTTCACGGATGCCCGCACAGGTAGGCTTTATCCCACCTATCATAGGTGGACGTTTGTTGCAACGCAAGGAAACGTTGTGTAACCTTTAAACCTCGTGTATGCTCATCGATCATGTTGGGTCCAAGGACCAAGGTAGTGCACGCAGTTCCACCAATCAAAATGGACGATTGACTCAGTTCACTCACAAGTGCTCCAATAGTGCATGTAGTCGTTATTCGCTCACTGTTGTTGCCTTCAGCGCCTCATTCACTTGCTTGAACAGTATTCTTGAATCTACTTTCAATGGCTGCTTCTTCATGCTGAGTAACAGTAGTGTCGAAGCTCACTCCTGGTTTTTTTGCGAATCTTCACTTATCAATGATCAGCGCAGCCGCAGCATTATCCCTGGATACTGGTGTCTATTTCTTGCTTGTAAATTATTGTGCTTTTAGTTGCTTGATTCTGCTAGCGTAGTGACATTCTTTCTTGCGAGCTCCACGCAAATCCGTTTGCACCTATTTAGTCTGTAACTCCATTGTCTCTACCTGCTCTGCTTACTGAAACTGTACGGTGCACATAATTTATTACCCACTCTGATGTGTCACTGTAAAGGTGAGTCGCCCCTTAGGTGTAAGCTCATCAACTGAAAAACATCGCTCGCACTTAACTTCCATGACCACGCCATACACTTGGTTTGCAGACTTTCTATTGCATGTCATTTGGTCATTGTCGACGGTGTTGCAGCCGTCAATACTAGACCGAACATCGTATAAATCGCTTGCGTACCGAATTGATTGCATTACCAAATAGTAAGGTAATACAACAAAGGGTTGGTAAATCTACTTACACGATTCCATGTCAAATTTCCATTCTACTTCGACTTCATGCATAGGTAAACCACTGTACGAAGATGACAGCTAATTCTAGCGCGTCTGCGCACATCTGCACTAGTGGATGGGTTTTCCAGCTGCAGCTAGCACCGCGTTTTTCCATACTTGAGCGCACTCGTCTTCTATGCGCGAGGTCCGCACCACAACGGTCCTTAAGTTAACGACGTTTTACCAACTCATGTAGACCATTAAAAAGCCATCGGCCGTGACTTTACATCCAACGTTCTGAACAACCGCTTCTTTACCTCCCAGTGTAAGAGAAACGCTCTGTTTTTTTACTGGAACTAAGTTGTAACAGGAACTCAGTTACTCGCGTTATAATTTTCGGATTTCCCATGTGCTCCCTTCCATTCTGGTTGTTTTTGCTGTTATGCGGTGCTTGTATTCGTGAACATCCTTTTCCACCTTAATGTAGTTCTATGGTTTACGTGCCTCCGTGATTCGTTGAGCTACGCTGGATGGCACTTTCCAAGTCCCCTTAGAGTCACTCATACTGGACAGATCTCTGGTTAGGAGTCAAACCAACTCATTCTCAGCATTCGCTTCGTAAGAGGTTGACAGAAGTCGGAGGCTCTCTTCCCTCAAAAGTTAATCATGGGAGGCTGCATATACTGATTATAGCATCGACGCATGAGCTCCACGCGTTGTCTCTGACAGCGGAGAAGCACTACTCGTTCCCAGTTGTTTGCTACTGTCTGTCTCAAGCCGAACAATCCCTTGTCCATTAGAGGCAAACGCGCCAGTTCCCATCCTCGACTGACTGAGTTCGCTGGTGCATAATGCACTGCTCTTGAAACCAATTCATGAATTGTTCTGGATCTTCCAAGGTTGCACGCTGCTGGCCTCAAGTAGATCTCAATGGAGCTATTCAATTGCACTTCCAGGTGGGACTTACTCCTCGTTGCCTTGTATGTCAACTATTGAGTGAAAGCGTAGAGATAGGGCCTTTCGATTGGAACCGCTTTCTCGAAATGAACAGTCGGAGAGTATCATTTGTCCACAATACACCGCCGGTACTACTTTCTCTCTTGTTCCTCGTTTCACGGATCCTCTTGCGTTTGTTAGCAAGAGATCATTACTGATTTCGTTAGCTGCACTATCTTAGAAGAATCGTCATTTTTTGAACCTAGGATCGTTTCGTGTCTTCGATATTCTACTATCCGCACACTGTATACAATCGACCAGCAGACAGCACTGGATGCGCTCTACACTCCCTCAACATTGAATTCTGCTGCGTCTCCGAAAATGCATACAGGACAGCAACGTAGTACTTAATTTATGGCCGGATCAGCTTTGCTGGGCTGTCACGCCTACTTGAGAATATACCACTTATCACCCTCACTTACTAGACTCGGTTTCATTTGTTGGGATTTATGCTCTTCAGGTCTCCGGTGACACCGAATCCATGGCTCGCGATGTTTTTAGTGTCTGATTCACTTTCAGTAGATGTGCCGAGGATTCTTTTAGGATTGATTCCAATGAGCAGTCGATTGTCATGTGCCATTTGGTTTCTATTCTCCATCGAAGTCAACAAACAGCGTCTGGGGACAAGGGGCTTGCCATCTTTTTCAATGGCATTCACTGATTGCAGTCTAGCATCTTTCGTAATTAAGGTATGTAAACAGCACAGGCATCATAATCGCCTGAAGTGATTACAATCAGACGGTTTCAGCCGGAACTGTGTAATTATAGGGCACGCGTTCAGGACTTCATTCTACCATAATCTTGGGTGTCGATTTTAACCCGGTCATCGGCTCTTGTCGCTTCCAACTATCCTCCAGTATTCTTGATGAAATTTGCACCAAGCTAAAAACCGTTGTTGCTCACAAACGACATTTGTTTCACAATTGTACAAGCCTGATGAAATTTCTCTGCATGAACTTTCTTCGCTATCCTTAGGACTAATCTTTCGGTTACTATGTAATCCATACGTTGTTTGATGCGGTGAATATTTGGCCCTTTTGACTTATGCTTACTCGTTTCCCTGTTTCTTATCTGGCTTACTTATCATCCTCGTCTTTCTACGCCCATTACCATCTTTCTACGCTTTATACTTCTCTCTCCTTAGTCGTTTTCACACCGCTTTTTATCTCTGCTTCAGATCTACTGTGTTCCTAATGCCAACCAGTAGCGCTCTAATCAGCGTGACTGAGTTCCCTCCCTTTGTGATCACCCTGGAGGAGGTTGAATTCGTCATGCTGGAGCGCGTCAGCTTGTCGATTCGCACGTTCGACATGGTGTTTGTGTTCAAAGATTACACCAAGAAACCAGCCATGGTAAACTCCATTCCAAGTACATCGCTGGAATTGGTCAAGGAATGGCTATTGTGAGTTTGTCTCAGTTGCTTTGCAGTCACCCACTATGTATGCTCCTACTGTTACAATCAGCATTTTGCGTACTGTTTACTGCTCTGTGTTTCCGTCAACAAATCTCCCTCGCTCCCATCAAAGCCCACATGCGAACTAATTACGCTCGTTGGACGAATTCTCCTGATATCCTAAGTGTGAACTCCTCACTGAACAACACTACCAGTAGTACATGATAGATTCCTCGCGCGTACAAACGGTCGTCTATTTACGCGCGAGGTATCAATCATGTACCACTGTTGATGTTGTATACTTTGTCACAGCAGTTGGGCCACACCGGCTTACCCATAAACTAGCTTCAGATACTCCCACTCTAGATAAAAGTATCCCACCTAATTTGATTTGCTCAGTTCTGTCATCCTATCTCATACTCCGTGTCAAATTTGCATGTTTATTTTTCTTTAACTTCCATGTTGGTTGTTTGATATCCCCCTTGTGGCTGTGCAAGGTGTGACAAGGTGCCTACCCGTCTAACACCCTCCACCTTGATTGCTGACTCCAGGAGACTGAATCGTTGCTGCCGGGGGGGACGCAGTGCACGGTCTTCATGGCCCTGCTAGGATCACAGAGTGGTTCCATCCAGTGTGGAGCGGACTACGGCCCAGCTACCACCTTGTGTACGTCTGGTACGCATGATTCCCTACCTAGGTAGACAGAACTACTGCTGCTGTACATGTTGAAGGAGTTTGGGCAGGATCCTTTGATAAAACATGACTTCCATCGACATACCTCACGATCTTATCTCTTCCGGGTTAAACTGGATATTAGGTATGTGGATGGAGCTGTGCGTGGTGCAGCGCAAGCCACCCATGGTCCATCTGTAGGCGCAGGCGTCCTGTGGCTGTCCCCGTGTAGGCCGCAGTGATAGTCAGATCCGGAACCGGCTGCAGCCAACCATGGCATGATGGACCTCTTTGGAACGCCAGCAGCTGACAACTTCCAGCTCAGCCGTCTAGAAGCGCCTTCCTGATACTGTTTCGTCTCGTCTCAAATTACTTTTGATTCAATAGATTGTCGGCTATCTGCAATGAAAGGTTACCTCAGGATCGTTCTCTTTGTCCACTGTTACTCTGCTTCATGCGTGGTAACCACCATTACAGTGTCCCATGACACTGTGCACGAGCCCGTTGGAGTACCGTTTATGTGAACATACCTATTTCATCCACACCTGCAACTGAAATGTCCCATCATCTATTGGCACGTGCCTGAGACGGCTGATCCCTTTTTACTCGGTTTCCTTGATTACTTATCATTATGATAATGATGTGTGACTAACTCCACTCTTTTTGTACTTTTCTCTTGTAGAAATTTGGCAACTCTTTTAGCCAATTGGTCGTTTTTTTCACTTAGGTGTTCATCCCCTCTGTTGTGCTAAAATGGTATTCACTTTTGTCTCTTGTCCCCTAGGTCGTGTGATTTATTCTACGCTGAAGGTACCAAGTCTTTGAATTGGCCCAAGTTAATGAAGACCATTTTGGACAATCCAGAAGGCTTTTTGGAGGAGGGTGGTTGGTCCTTTATATCTCCGGAAGAGGTGAGTTTGCTGGACAACAGTGTGCTTACTTCAGCACAACTCTTTTCTCAAATGTTCACTCTAGTGTCTTAGACTCATCAGTCTCACAACCTCGGTTACATTTCGCATGGGTCATCCAAACAATCATTTGTGGCCGCTTAGTTGCATCCTCAGAAACACTTAGCTAAATCACTCTGCTACTTCCTCCAAATTTACACATCCTACATTCTTGCCTGACTTGATATGGTCATTCGCCCCTAGTTGCTGGGTTTCTGTAATACTGTTTTAGCCCCTTGATTGCTTATTCTTGCATTAGTGAAACCGCTGCCAATTTATAACGAATGTTGATCGCAATAAGCCTTTATATGTGAGGCCAACTGGCCGTATCCTTTCTTATGTTAATGTACCTACTTGTGGTTTACAGGACACCGACGAGGATGAGGAAAATACTGATGTCGAAGATGAGAACTACGCCCCCTCGGAAAGTGAGTTGTCTGGGGATGGCGACGAAGACGTCAGCGGTGGCAATTCTAGTGGCGATGAGGAAGACGATGAAGATGAGGATTGGGAAGCCGAGGAAGAATCCGATCGTCCGGAAAGTCTGGACTCCGACGAATCTGAGGGTAAAGATTGGGATGAATTGGAGGAAGAAGCGAAACGCGGTGAGTGTTCTCATTTCTATTCCACCCTCGGTTTCTAGTTACTTTTGTATCATTAGGAGATTGCATGGTCGCATATTATTCTGTCTGTACTACTCACTAAGGAATTTCTGAACAGTCTCGCTGGACTACCTCCCGCTCACCGTGTTTTATTCGAGTTTAACTTACTCCGCCTGTAGTCATCATTGGATTTGCGCACTAGTCACAGTAAGATTCAGCTCAATTCAACTGAATAGTTTTGGTCGAGCACTGACGTAGCGATCAATGTCGCTTTCTTAACGCATTGATTAGGAGGGACAGAAAAGCAAAACCATCTGTTTAATAGGAATGGTCGAATTGGAAAACTGGCTTTCAGAGGCACCACCGTTTTTCAACCATGCCCTGTTGGATAGAGTTCCCATTAACTTATGTGCCGATCCCAAATTTCTACCCCATCTTATTTGGTTGCTCCTTTCTTCCACATCACATCTTACTCTCTCCATCAGTGGCCCAATGTAAAGTGTCCGCAAGCAACTCTCTCTTGTGTCTTGGCCTCCCCATTTATGTGTTGAGAATTGCAAATGGCGCAACTTGCATATGTGCCCTCTACGTTGCTGTACGAATCCCTCAATCTTCTTTTAAAAATTCCGTCATTATCCGAGCCAACTTACAATATCATTGAACGATTGGTGGTTAGGCGATGCTTTAGTGACTATAGACACTAACCTCTTCCTCGATGGTGCTTTTTCATGATATACCTCTCTTATTCCAAATCGGACGATTGAATCCCGATAATACACCCCATAACAGAGTGAATGGAGCTGCATTTTTTCGCCGTAAATTAATAAACGGAAATGCTGGAACGCAACGCAATCAGTCTAAATGGTTTTTAGCAAAAAGGACGTTCGATGCAAGTTTGCTGTCCACTCGTGTAACTACTCACTTCGGGCCCTGTAGTTACTTCTGTTCGAAATCGAAGTTACTATGGTGATAGTTTCCGATTCATATGATAACACTGCGTGCATCGCTGTGCACTCTACTTTTGACCTACGAGTTGGTATATCGTCGTTTGCACAGAAGATGGGACCGTTGTATACCACTCTGCTCCCATCAATGCAACACATCCTTTATTGACGCAATCACCAGTCTACTGGAATGCTGTTTTTAATTTGCCTCACCGTTCGGTGCTGGTTGACATTAATGGCTGGCTCCTTGTCGATGTTTTATCACGTCAATATCTTTACCGTTTAATCTACAAATCACACCACCCTGTGTTAGCAAACACTTCTGCTTCTATGGATGCTACATCGTCTGCATTTTACAAATTTATCATACTGTTGGCAGGTAGAATCTGCATCCTAAATGGGAAGGCAGCTCGCCAGTCATTCTTCATTTTTTCGGGAGCCACCACTTGCTTTAGTGAATTCGGTTTAGGTCATCTATAGACTCACCACTCTGTGGCCCACTGTATTGCCAGTTCACAATCCGAACTGATTTCTATGTAATTTATAGGTGACCAGTTTTACCCCCAAATGTAACCTAACCATTCCGACACCATCTTCAGCTTGAGGATGGGAATCATTACACGTTGTAGTACAACACTTCGTTAGGTGCTAATGTATGGACACTATATAAATTAATTAATTAAGCTTTTTCTCGGCAAGGCGAGACACACCTTTACAGGCATGATCATTTTCACATAACAATGCGTGATCAAGAATGTGTACAAGTCCGATAGGTTTGCCATAACAGTGTATGTTTGTGTAGGGAGGTATGTAAGTATGTACTTACCTGTGTGTGTCTGTAGCTGTGTAGTTTTTGCTTGTAATTATGCTGCGCCATTCTTGAATGCTTGCTATCGTCAGCAATGTGGGGGTCGAAGTTTGGTGTCCTTGGGTTGGAAAGTATTATCCGGATATCCACGGGGCAGTGACTTTATTTTGTGGCGAGTCACGACCGCCACGTCACATTGTTGTTAAGCAGACATCTGTGATGTTTTATAGGGAGAACGCTTGCCAGACGGAAATCCACTACATCCTGGAACACTTCCGCCGAACTATTTGTTGGAACGGGTTAAACCCGAACCATCCAGCTGACAAAACGTGAAGGTTGTTCGACTAACCACCTGAGTGATGCTTTGCTTGGCTTTGGATGCAATGTTTTGAGGTCGAAGCCTGGTCGCTTCTCACACTCTATTGTGGATCGCTAACTGCACCCACATCCAATCTGCGTTGTCGCTTCATCGGTAATCGGTCGGTTCTTTTCACATTATCCGAGTACTTCCTTCGTTTCGTTTGATCTTGTTAACCGTATAACGTGGGAATCGACTTCAATGCGCTTTTTCCTTGTCCTCTATTTCCTCTAGAGGACGCAAAGAATTCGCTTCTTGCTGATGAGGATCACCGAACAGGTCATTCATCCAAGCGACGCCATGCTTCAAGCCCTACCTCGGATGCACGTAAAAAGTCGAGCAAATCCTCCCACTCCTCTGGCTCCGCTGCCAAGAAGCAGAGACATCGATAGAGCACTGTGTCCTTTCTCGTCCGTGCGCGGTTGTCCCGCTCTTATATGTGACTGTGTATCACCCATTGTGTCCCCACTATTCTCTTCAATACACCTGTACCGATACAGACTCCTTACATTACAAGTCGTTTTCCTTCAGAAGCTTTAGTTTCTTGATTTGGTCTTCGCAAGTTTGCCTGTGTTCACTCCACTTAGGATGCTTTATATCAGGGAGTGGATGATGCTCTCTGGCTGTTTTTTCGCATTTACATTACTCCTACATCCAGGTCTGTAATCGAAACGTATTATTTCGCGTGCCGGTTCCCAACCACTTCGTTTCTTACTTGCACCACATCCTACCAAGGCAACACTCGCGAGCACGTCCAGCTTAGTAAGTTTTAAGTGAATCTGCAGCATTCACTCGCACTTGCCATGCCGCTTTATTTCTAGACAACGTGATGAATAATTCCCGGTCCATTCACCGACTTTGTGTTCTCCCTGCTTATGACACGATAAGAGTTTTCAACGGAGAAGGAATCCACAGTAACCAATAGGGATATGCGAAAAGTCTGCTTTCACCCAGAGCCATTTTTTCTTTATATTCCTCGTAACCTCATAGTTGATCATGTGAACGAAATTTAAGACCTTTTGTCCACTGCTTGTCAGTTACTACTTTACTCTAATCCCTTCCAGTGAGCACTTCTCTGATAATATTTTCTTCAACTTCGGAGCACAAAACCACCGCTAATGTTTCCGTTCCAAGCTGATGGCTGTCTATGTCAATTTTTGTGCATTCTTATTCGGCACATGCAAATCATGTGATTAAACAATTATTGGTCGCCTGTTGTAAATGTCTCCGCCGATGGAATAACGCTGTATCGCAATAACAAACCACACTGCACGAGAATACAGCTGAACACTATCGCTCGCTAACGGCCGTGCCGTTGAGACGGAGTTGCGTGTAGTGGACAACTGGTGATGTCGCTCACAAAATGTTCATCTTTTTCACTCTTGAATCAGACCGGAACGCATTGTCATTGGTGTGCACTTGTCCGCTCGAACAACATAGTCGCTTTCGCCGTAGGTATCTTAGTGCAATAAATCCCATTCTAGCTGGCCCTGCACCGGTTGATCTTTTCCTCCATAAAATTCAATGATTTACAACCCGGTTGCTAGCTAGCGGGTTTCTACCTGGTAGAACGAACTTCGGTACACGTTTTTACAATACTGGACGAGTACTTCGACAAACGTAATCGTTTATTGAACGTTTAGTTGACTGTGATCCGAGCACATCAGTGCAGGGGGTCCAGTTACCGTGGATTACAACGCTACCCCGATGAGAAGGAAACGCAAACACACACATGCAATTTATTCAGAATAAGCTCAGAGGAAAGATACTTGTTAGCCGCGATTCATAGCATAAATCAGCCGTGGACAAGAACTCCACTAACTTCGTACATGCGCATGTCAGACTAAGTCCCCTTGGTGCAGCCTAACTCCCAACCCCGTGAAGCATAAAAACCACACCTGCCCTCCTAAGTCTCTCAGTCATGCATTTTTCCATCTATGTATAAGTAAACTAATAAGTGCATAAAATGTTCCACAAGCTAGAGCCATTCCCATTTGACGGTCGGTCAGTTGTGCAAGGTTCCCTGTCGCAAATCCGAGTGAGTTGAGTGCTCTTTTCAGTCGAATAAAAGGTCCGAATTCGTTAGCATTTCACTTGACAGCAACTTCCGCTGTACTCTTCGAATGGGAGGTTCCAATTTATGTGCGGCGGAATTCGTCAGCATTTCGTTGAGGAACTTTGTTCGTATGGGTCAATGTGGCAAAACATTTGTGGGATGTGTGGCAGAGAACAGGTTAAAGAGTAAGCTACATCCTGACTATAGAAGGCTTTGGAAACAATCGGTTGGTAAAATAAGTGGATAACTTTCGCTTTTCACACGAATGCTTCGTCAGGCCAAGTGAACTACTACATAATTGAAGATCATTCATAGGGGACTGCGATCATTACCACAAAAGTTAATTGCCTAGGCGGTGGACATTACCATAGCCAACATCAGCGTGAACAGGATGGATGAAGTGGAACTGTCAAATATGTAACAAGTTCCTTAACTCGTCCAGTCTAAAGAGCATCGACGAGTTTTCCGATACGAATAGCGAGACCTAAGCTACTCCCATCCAAATCACTGGCAACCGATGTTCTGAATGCGTACAAAGTAGGCTTGCATCCTTGCTGAGTAAGCGCCTACTGAACACTGTTAAAGTTCACTGATCGCATATCCGCCAGACGTTACTGTCAGCAGGCATGTCTTCATGTGACGAATCCAATTACTAACCTGGACATCGGATCTCTACGCAGTCTCTGGAACTTCTGGATGTTCTTCGATGTGTTCCGGATTTTAGCGAACATAATGAGACTCGCAAAGACCTCGGCGCGAGACTGCGTGCTAGCCTGAAGAGAGACCGCGAAGCCTGGTGGTCCCATCTTATTTGGTAATCATCGGAATTTATTCCGTCAGATCCGATAAACGGGCAGCAGGAGACCTGGTGTTAGCGAGACCATATGCGACGAGAGTGGACACAATCCACAGCTTGTCAAAACGCTTGGAGCGTTGGGCCGAACGCTTTAAAAAAGCAGTTTATTTAGCCAGTGTTATCATCCTCCTTTTGCACCGTCCCCTTGGATCCACCCTCACGTGCAGTAGTCAAACGTGAGATCAGATCAGGAGCAGATGGACTTCCTCCAGTCCCCTTCCTATTAGGGGGAACCAGATCTGGAGTGAGATTTACACAACTTACCAGTGAAACTGTGGGAGCAGGTGACTGTTCCAACAAACTGGAGCCGTTATAGATCCCATTTTCAAGGCGTGCTCACGTTCGGAATGCGGCAGTTATGGAGGAATTCTTCTGCTCTCAATTGCCTCTAACTTATTTGCCTTTGTCGTCCTCTATATACTGACCGAAACCCGTGGAAACCAACTTCTCGAGGAGCAAGCAGGGTTTCGTCGAAGTCGAGGCTGTATTAATAACTTCATCACATTACAGCAGTTGCTTAACGCCACATTGGCGACCTACTATAGTCGTGTTCCTCGACAACGAAGCTGCGTTCGATTGGGTTGATCGATGTGCCCTTTGAGACTGTCCGCTCAGGAAAGGTGTGCCCGATAATTAAATGTCATAAGAACACTGTATGCGCATAGTTCTGGCAGTAATCGGTAAAATTACCGTGCGATTTGCAAGTTGCTTTTTTGTTTATTACTCTGAACTACCTGTGACACCTACGCCATCTGCTACAAATTATTTATCAAACACCCTGTCTCCTTTTTTGATGCACCATAGTTTGTTGCGATCTTTACCCTTTTAGCCACGGAGTCACGACGAGCAACGGTTCACACAACTGTTAATTACTGATTGGAGGGTCATTTTGAAATACTCGTTGTGTGATTGGATTGCGACGCGTAATCCGTAAAGTACTGTAGTTAACTTTCGGTGTTGTTTTGGATTGACCCAGGACTTTTGCGATTGATCGAGTCTCAAGCGAATTTGTCGCTTCCAGTACTCAGCAGCCGTTTCCTGGTTTGAATTGAAATGAAATACAAGTGCTCGAAATTCTTTTCTTGGTTTGGATCGATTGGAGTTCAATTACTTAACAGCAATTGCTTGTTCTGGATTAAGTTAGAATGCAAGTCATTGGCAGTCCATCTCCAGAGTCCGCAGTCTTTTTTTGAAGTAACAAGTACTCAAGAGCACTTCTTCGTTTGAATTAAACTGGTGTCTCGTACTAGACAATTCCTCCGAACCACATCCCCTTTCTTTAAAGTATGAATTTACCTATTAGTGTGTTGCTGTTGGACTGCCGTACAAAGTGGGCACAGCCGCTTGCTTTTCCGAACCATATCAGCAGGAAAGTAATCGATAATTTCGACAGAGAGGAGAAAGAACTTAGGCAAGTCAAACATTTCTCTCCTGTCGATGATTTACTTTCTTTCTTTGGGACGCATGCTAGCATTCCTAGTAGACGGATAATGAGTTCAAAGTGTGGAAATCCCCTTTGTGTTTGCAGAACTTACGAAGTATCAAGCAGCAGTTGAATTGTAATTGGCTAACTTGCCTGTAGAGCTAGTTGTTAATGTCGAACATCCACTTACTGACATTACTCGGTTTTTCGGTACGCATTACGAACGACTTCATGGTTGGTGGCAATTTGCCACAGGTCGGAACTGAAGGAAGCATTGCCACATCATTC